CTACACCATTTCGGACAAATGGCTGTCCAGTTTCTTCTTAAAAACTTCCAGTGTTGGAGCATTCACTGCTTCTGGAGGCAGGTTGTTCCACTGGTTAATTGTTCTGTCAGAAACTTTCTCCTTAATTCTAGGTTGCTTCTCTCCTTGGTTAGTTTCCATCCATTGCTTCTTGTCCTGCCTTCAGGTGCTTTGGAGAATAGCTTGACTCCCTCTTCTTTGTGGCAGCCCCTGAGATATTGTAACACGGCTATCATGTCCCCCCTTGTCCTTCTCTTCATTAAACTAGACATACCCAATTCCTGCAACCGTTCCTCATATGTTAAAAAGAAATTTAACAATGGTAAACTTATTTCCCATCTTCACTCCCTCCCCCATTTGATTCAGTTTCAAAAAGGGTTTTCAGCATCCACTCCTCGGTTTCTGGATCTTTCCTGAGTTTCAAGGGTGGAATCTTTGGTGTTGCTTCAGGTGTGATGCTGTGGTCCACAACTGCTGGTTTTATGTGGGTCCAATGGATCCAGGCATTCCTTTCTGCTACCTTGATTGCTGTCTGAGTGGTTAGCAGAACTTGAAATGTCCATTCCACTTTCGTTGTAATGGTGATTTCCGAATGTATGATTTTATCCAGATTCAGTCTCCTGGTTCAAAGGGATGTAGGTTCTCTTCTAGTGGTAAGGTTTGTGTCAGGGCTCTCTGCTTCCACAGTTTCTTGAACTGTCATTGTAGAGCTGTAAGATAGGATGATAAGATCACCTCGCCTCTTTCTAAGCAAAGGGACTGAGGGTCTAGGCCAGTGATTCTCAACCTTTTTAATGCCGTGACCCCAACCGGTCGTATGTCGAGGACTAAACCGGTCGTAAGTCGAGGACTAAACCAGTCGTAAATCGAGGACTACCCAATCGGTCATAAGTCGAGGACTTTCCCTGCCCGGGAGCGCCGCGCATGCGTGGTTCCGCCCCCTGCGCCGGCCGAGGCGTAGCTGGCAAGCGGCAGAGACGGAGCAGGCTGACCACCAGCTGGCCCAGCTCAAGGGAGGTAAGGCTCCCGCCGGAAAAGGGGAAAAAAATGGCGGACAGCCTTGCTTGGCGACCCCCGTGAAATGGTCGATCGACCCCAAATGGGGTCGCGACCCATAGGTTGAGAACCGCTGGTCTAGGCCTTTGAGTGTGTCAGGTGGGCAACCAACAATAATTCAAAGGAGGAGATGCCTATGTCTCACCTTGGCTGGGTTCTAAGGTGGAACAAGGCTATGGGTAATACTTGGGGCCAGGATAGGGGGTCTCCTGGCAGAGTTTACCTAGGAGGGTCTTTAACTCCCTATTCTGTCTCTCTACCCCCCCCCCAAAGAACTGGGGTGTCCCAGCATGTGTATGTCTTGTTTAACGCCCAACGGCTGGAGGACATGCGTGATAACTTGTGACACAAAGTGTGTGCCTCTGTCCATGTCTAAAATGCTTGGGACTCCAAACCTGGGCACAAGATCCTTTAACAGGTGTCTTGCTGTCTCTAAAGCAGTGGCATGGCAGCATGGGAATGCTTCCACCCAGTGAGTGAGTTGGTCCCTACAGACTAATACATACTGGTAACCATTGGCTCTGGGGAGTTGAATGTAATCCAGTTGGAGTTTTTCAAAGGGGCGTTGGGCCCGTGGTCTCCCCCCTGTGTGTGTTGCTTCTTCTTGAGGAGGCATTGTTTGCTTGACATATTTGGCATGTCTTGGTTATGCGAATGGCTTCACTGTAGACTCCTGCGGCATACCACACTTTCCTTATGGCATCTACTATTGCTTGTGTCCCACAGTGCCCTTTGGAGTGTAACTGCTGACAGATTAGTCGTAGCAGGCGACTAATCTGGAACCCACCAAAATCCTTCTTTATAAACTGCCTCACATTTCTCTTCCCAAGTTTTTATTTTCCCAGGTTCTAGTAGATCTTGATATTGTACTGTTGGTCCTAATTGTAAGGTGGTGGATGCCTTCAGGGGTTGAGTGGCAGCTCACTTGTTTGCGGCGTCAGCAAATTATTTCCTTTTGTGACCCTTGAGTCATCCTTTTGGTGTGCTCTACAATGGATGACTGCTAGGGATGAAGTAGACTGCTAGGGATGAAGGCAGTTGGATAGCTTTCAGTATGTCAGATATGAAGTCAGTGTGGACATTAGATATTAGAAATCCTCTCTGCTTCCACAGAGCCCCAGTAGCATGACAGACTCCAAAAGCGTATCTGGAATCAGTATATATATTGGCAGACCAGTTCTCAGCTATTTCGCATGCTTTTCTCAATGCGATAAGCTCAGCCACTTGAGCCCTGTAATGTGGCAGCAGGGGAAGCCCAGGCTGTCTCATGCAGAAAGACAAGTGAGGGTCCTGTTACACAGGCCCCATTAAGCAGGTAAGAGAAGCCATCAGTGAATAATTCTAGGTCTGGGTTTGAAAGGGGATCATCTGTTAAGTCAGGACACGGTAGTTCAGCATCCTGGACTACATGTAAGCAATCATGTAATACTTCATCTGATAGATTAGTAGGCAGTAGTGTTGCTGGGTTGAGCGTGTTACAGCATTCAAAATGATGTTTTCTGAAGTGAATAGTTCTGCTTCGTATTGGGTTAGGCCAGGGGTAGGCAACCTTGGCTCTTTTATGACTTGTGGACTTCAACTCCCAGAATTCCTGAGCCAGCTTGGCTCCTCACTGCTTCTTCCCCCACAGACATCGGGAGCGCCCATCCTGCCTATCCCTCATCCAGGGGTAGCTGCCGCTGTCCGGCGCTCTCCAACATGTCGCTGGCCAGCCAGGTGTGCTGGGATGCCTCCCTTCGGGCTCCCTCAGCATCTCCCCCCCCCAGGCTGGGGCTGGTCAGATTCCCCCCGTGGGCAGTGCTGCGCCTGTCCCCGGCCAGCCCTCCTCCTCCATTCTCCTCCTCCTTCTGTGGGCAGATGACGGCTTACCGAGCCGGGCAGCGCCTTTCCCCATATGTGTCCTCAGGCAGAGGAGCCGGGCAGATGCGGCTCTCGCTCCCCTCCAGCCTCCATCTGCCTGGGGCCCGAGCTCGGCACGCCCAGCTGGCCAGCGATGGGCTGGAGAGCGTGGAATGGCGGCAGCTGCCCCGGGACAAGGGATAGGCGGGGTGGGCACTCCCGATGTCCATGGGGGAAGAAGCGGCATGGAGGCTCCATGCCCAGTCCAGCCCAGCCCAGCCACAGCACAGCACAGAAAGCGAGGCAGCAGCCCCACATGGGTCAGAGCCAACCCTCAGAGAGTGCCCTTCTCCCACCGCCCCGACCTGGTTCCTTACTTTCGCCTGGCTTGTTTTGCAGCCTCATGGCAGTGCCATTGGGCAGGAGATGGCAAATGGGGCTTGCTGAGGATCGAGCCACTTTTGCTGCCGCCGCTGCCACCACCCTTGGAGCCAGTGATCAGCAAGGCCCCGTCATGGGAGGACACGGGGGCGCCAGGGTCCAGCCCTATGAAGCCCAACTTCTTCTCGCCCGAGCTGCCTGGATACATGTCCCCGTTGCATGACTTCTGCAGCGGCAGTGGTGGCGGCGCGGAGGCCGATCGCAGGCACGAGCGGGATAGCCGCGCAGGGCAGAGGTGCTGCTCGGGACCAGAGCGGAGCAGCGGTATGGCAGTGGCAGAGCCGGGCAGGGCAGCAGTGGTGGTAGCAACGGCTGGGTCACTTTGCCCAAAGCAGCAGCGGCGGTGGCGGCAGCATGGAGGAGGTGAGGAATGGCGCCCGCTATCTTCCTGGCCTCCCCTCCGCCTGCTTTGCGCAGCTCCTCCTTGGCCCCCTGTGGCCACCGTTAACCCTTCCGCCACCATGCAGGATAAGGTTTCCACCCCCCGCCCCACCCAGATGCCCTCGCCTCCCCTAAGCATTTTTGTTACTAATGTGCCTTTCAGCTGCATTCCATTTCTCCATTCACTTCTCAGCCTTCGCCACTTGTTTGTGGGACTATCAATAAAAAAAAAAGCTTTATTTGGAAGGAAATGGGCTAATCCTTTGCTTTTCCCCACGACACACACACACCCACACACCGCCCCCACAGTGAATCAGCACAACACAACAGTGATGTTTTAAGATTTATAACAGTCTATTAATAAATGGAGGGTGGGACGAGGTTCAGAAGCGTTCATTGGGCAATTTTGACCACTGACTTTTTTATCCAGTAAAAATGCCTTGACCCAAATTCCTTTCTAAAACCAGTTAGTTTTCTTTTTTCTTTTTATTGAAAAGTTTTATAAAAGTTACAATATAAACCCCAAAACCCACCCACCCTAAAAAAAACCCTCTCCCTCCCCCACTTCCCAGAGCTGAATACAGGGTTACAAATATAATAATCATAATCTAACTAACATTAACCAACTATATAAATAACCAAGTCCATAATGCGCTTTAACTCCCCTTTAACATAAATATAATAATAATAATTAAAGCTTAAACAAATTAGTATCCTAATTATTAAACAATAAAGTATCCATATTGTTAAACAATACTAATACTAAAAGTAATAATACTATCATATAATTAAAACTAATAAAAATTTCACTATAATAAACTATTAATACTGATAATACTGTAAAATTTACTCATA